CAAGAAACCACGGTACATGTAAACAGCCTAGAGATATAGGGAGAAAAGTTCCGTGGATTGCTGCCTGAATGTAAGGAGAGTCCAGAGTGTGGAGGCAATGTTAAGGATTTTGAATAGCGCAAAGGGAAGCCAGTGAAAGGTTTAAGTCTCGAGGGTGTTAAAGATTAGATTTGCCACTTAAAATTCTGCTGGCAAAGATTAGGCAGGCCTATAACACAAAAAATAACACATGTGAGGAATATACTTCTCAGTTCAATCAAATATACGAGACCAAATGGGCATCTCCTGTCCAAAAGCAGGATGAGAAGGCAGGAAGGGACAGGAACTTGATGAATGGACACAGGGAGCCCAGGGTGGAAAGGGGGAGCATACTGTCACATTGTGGGGATTGCAGCCAATGACACAAAACAATATATGTATAAATTTTTGAATGAGAAATTAACTAGAGCTGTAAACTTTCACCTAAAGCACAATAAAAAAATTTCCATAATTAAAAAGAAATTCTGCTGGCGTCAGTCTGCATCAGACATTCATTGTGCATCTGTGTATGTCAGTTATAATGTGGAGAATGGATTAGAATGGATGAAGGGGGACTAGTTGGCGTGCTATTTAGAGTAGTCTAGGCAAGAGATAGTTGGTGACATGTGCAGTGGTGGTGTATATGGAGAGTGCTTCCTCAACTTCAGAGAGATTTGATGTATTTAGTAGGCAGAATCAGTAGAACCTGAGGATTGATTGCACATACGAAGTGAGAACAGGAGGAACCCCAGGTTTCTGGCCTGAGCAAATAGATAAATGGTCAGTATATTTACCAATATAGGGAATTCTGGCAGAGGAGAGATTTGTTTTTTGTGAGGGAGTTGATGAATTTGGTTTGGGACATGATGAATTTGCACTCTGTGCAAGACATGAAGTGGGACGTCATTTGTTCCAGGAGGTCAGAGAAGATGATTCTGCCGGAAATATAGATTTGGTTGTCATAGAATTTGCAGAGTGATGAGGAATATGTAAAGGGTAGTTAGAGAAATCCAAAAAGCTGGTAAGGAGAATGCAGAACATCCAAAGAGGTAGAATTTGTTGGAGAAGCAAAGGGAAGTAGAATACTTTTGGAAGGTGAGCACAGGCAACTCTCTAGTCCTGCGCAGAGTTCAGGCAAAGTAAAAGTGAACTGAATATGTTTGCTGGATTTAGTGCCAGAAACATCCTTGGTGAGCTTGGTGAAATTAGTGTTCGGAATGTGGAGGAAGAAGGCAGATTGAGCTGTTTGGGAAATGAATGGAAATGAGAAAACAAATATATGTAACTTGGATTAAAGCACTTGTCTTTGAAGTAGAAAAAGACAATGAAATGATTGAGAAGATGGGAGACAGCTAGAAATAAGTGAGAGTTCTTTGTGTTTTTTTGTGGAAGAGACTGATGCATATTTAAATGCTAATGCACCGGAGCTAGTAGTGAGATAAAGCTTAAAGCAAAAAACTGAAAATATGTAGCTCAAGTTTCTCTCTGGAGTAAGATGGAAAGGGCTGGCATGGGATTCAAAGAATGGGTAAAAGAATTGGCCTTGGGGGAATGACAGCATTTTTAACAGGAGGGAAAGAGCAAAGTATGGGTGACCATACTGTTAGGCCTGGCGATTTGGTGGTTGCAGGAAATAGAGGGTACCTTTCTCTTGTAAGTAAGAGCAGAGATCATTTTCTGAGAGTGATGGAGGTTCTGAGAATTGTCAGACATTGACAGGGAAAATCTTTGTCATGGACACTGAAAAATAGGAAAACAAATTTACTTTGGAAACTTAATCATTACTAGGCAGCATTGAGAGAGCCCTGCTGAAGTCAGTGAACATGAGTTTGTAGTAATAGTAGCAGACCTCTTGGTTATATGGTTTTCTCTGGCAGTAAACAAATCTGGATATAGATCTAAAGCAGAAAGTTGATGAGATTCAGCTACTGTTGAAGTTTCGCCGGAAATGTGTTGGCAGTATAATGGGACAGGGGAGTTTGGAGGGAAATGAGGACCAGAGGACAGAGTGAGTAAGAGCAAATAGAGGGATAAGGGACTGAGAGGTCCTGAGGAGAGAGTCAGCAAACATTTATGAGGTAATTGCGCAAAGGTGTTGGGAAAATGGGCATTTATGGTCAGAGTGGAGTGTCTGAAATTGGTCCTATCAGAGGGCAAGCATTTTGGGTAATGGCAAGGCCATGGTGTGGCTGCATGATTGACTCTGGATGTGTTGCTGCAGAGTAAGGAGATTTCTTGCTGCTTTAGGTCTTCAATGGGGATATCTGAAATAAATATGAGGGTTTAGGGCTTAGGATTTAGGATTCATCTTAAAGGATGTGAGGAATTGTCATGATTGTCTATACTGCAGCTATGAGGTCTTCTATATTTCTTGGATCTGTTTTAGAATAATTCTGTAGTTATTTGGGAAGGTCTAGTAGATTCCTGGTGGCACAGTGGTTAAGTGCTCGACTGCTAACCAGAAGGTTGGTGGTTTGAACCCACCAGCCACTCCATGGG